TTTCTGATCAGGAGCCCAGAGAGACAGGTTTCCTCCACCCCTATAGGAACACTGGAAAGCATCTTTACTGTTTGGGGCGAGAGCAACTTACTAGGATGTTGCAGCACTTCCGTGCTTTCATTCTTGTCCCTTGTTTAACTTGTACGAATCATCTTTTTGAGACAAGCCTGCCAGTGACTTACGGTATCTAGACCCATGGCGGCTTATCAAACCCATTTCTCCCCAGATGAAGGCAGGACTGTCGCCGAGGGCAAACGCCTTAAGTCCAGACCTGCAAACAACTGTTTGCAGAATTGTGTTGCAAGAATGTCTTTCGGAAGCAGGGACCCCACAGTCACACCCTCTTTTATGGTCTTGCTGGTGACCTTGTCTAAAATGATGGGAGCTGCAACATCCAGTTTGGTTTCATGAGTGTTACCGGCCTGAAATGTCCCCAAGCAGCTCTCGCGTTTGAGTTTCAAAAATCTCTCTGCTCTGTTTCCAGTCCCCTAGGTGGGGCTCTTTTCTTCTCATTTTGGATGAGATTATAAGCTTCTAGTAAATTATTGCTAGAAATAGTATACAGTTGACCCTTGACCAACAGTGGTTTGAACTGCTTGGGTCCACTTTTACCTTGGTTTTTTTTTTTCCCCTCAATAAACAAAGTGAGTTGTCTGCATCCGTGGATTCTGTGTTCTGGGTTCCAGATCAGGACATCCAAATTCAACCCGCAGTGGCTTGAATCTGCCATCTGCCCATACCAAACCCGCGCATACAGATGGCTGACTGTACCAGCCATTTTATAGAAGTGACTTGAGCAACTGGGCATTTTGGTATCCCCAGGGGCCCCTGGAACCCTCCCCCGCAGGTGCTGTACATGTTTCTCCCCCTACCCACACCCCTAGTCTTCCTATCAAAGCCTGTCCTTATCCTGCACGGAGGCAGTATAACCTAATGGTGAAATGCAAGGATTCTAGGGTCAGGGAAATTGGGCTTCAAATCCTGGCTCTGCTCCTTCTGTTTGTACGTGGCGCTGGATTAATCATTTAACTATTCTGAACTTGCAGCCTTGTTAAATGCAGATACTGCCAGTACCTAACTCATATGGTTGTTGTGAAAAGATTGAACAAGCAAATAGATGTGAAGTGACTGACTCAGGGCCCGATGCACTGGAAACACTATAAATGTTGTCAGTTATTATTATTGGCTGCGCGGCAGACAGAAGCATTGTCGAAGCATCAGGCTTCCAAGGCTGTTGTCCTTTCAGCAGCTGCTTGATCCCTGCTCACTGATTTGTGAATTCTATTACACACTGCCAGCGAGTAGGCTTTACACATCTGGATATATATTCCAGATGTTTAAAGAATTTCAATGTTTTCCTGTGTCATAAAGCCTTGGTGGAGAATCCTCTAAACAGTGCCAGTTAGGTCTTATTTCTAAAATTATAATGTAGTGTGTGGGGGGTATAACTCAGTGGTAGAATGCATGCCTAGCATGCATGAGGTCCAGGGTTCAATCCCCAGTACCTCTACCAACAAGAAAAAAAAAAAGAAACTAGCAATGAATTATTTAAAAAATTATAATAATGTGTGTTATATCTCATGGGGAATTTTTTGGCTTCTTTCTTAGCTAATAGAGATATTAAAATTGGTAGTTCCAGTGAGGAAGTGGGTAGGGAAGAGGCTGCTTCCCACCATGTGACCATGTAAAAATTCTCCCTGTACAGTCGCAGTTACGATGAATCCTCACCAGCCCAGGAAAAGCTGAGCTACACCGATTTAAATGGTTCCAGCTTTTGTCATCAAGATCGCCATTGGGTTGTCTCCTATGTCGCTCCATTTATTTATTTATTTATTTATTTATTTATTTATTTATTTATTTATTTATTTATTTATATTTTCTTATTTTCTTGTACCACAAAGTGTTCTAGACTCATGTGTATTTTCTCTGCTCCTGCTGTGGAATTAACCATTTCAACTAGGAGTCCTGATTCCTCTTGTTGGAGAAGGACACTTAGATGTAAAGAAAAAACACACTATTATTTTTCCCTTACACCACACACAATACTCTGAACACCTTGTACTGTGGTCACCAGATGTGTGAGGTTTTTCCCTACTAGAGCGGCTCATAGAATTCAGAGAAACAGTTTGTTTACTAGAGTGCAGGTTTATTATGAAGGAATTTTTTTAATAAAAGCACTTTTAAGAGGTTTCAGTTTTAGTTTGTATTTGTTTAAGGAGCGTAGGTAGTGTTTTAAAGAAAAGACTTTTGCTAAAAATAGCTGGCAATGAGACCATGGCTATATAACTATTTACAATAGCGAGACTTGGAAGCAGCCTAAATATTCATTGACAGGTGATTGAATAAAGAAGAAATTATATGTACACACACACACAATGGAATACCACTCAGCCATTAAAAACAATGAAATAATGCCATTTGCAGCAAAATGGATGGACCTAGAGATTATCATATTAAATCAAAGACAAATATCATATGATATCACTTATATGTGGAATCTAAAAAAAAGACCCAAATGAACTTATTTACAATATAGAAATGAACTCATAGACATAGAAAAAAAATTATGGCTGCCAAAGGGGAAAGTAGGAAGGGATACATTAGGAGTTTGGGATTAACAGATACACACTACTATATATAAAATAGATAAACAACAAGGACCTACTGTATAGTACAGGGAACTATATTCACTATCTTGTAATAACCTATAATGAGAAAGAATATGTATATGTATAACTGAATCAGTATTCTGTACACCAGAAACTAATACAACATTGTAAATCAACTATACTTCAATAAAAAAAAAAAGACCATGGCTATTTAACTAGTTTCTTTACTCTTTAATGTGTTTCTCATAATTTCTTGGGACAGTCTTAGTATTCTAAAGGGTCTATAGTTATACATATGTTATTTGTTGTCATTTAAAAATCTTGGGCAGAACAGCCAGATGGAAGAGCTGCCTAAGGCCAGGGACCAGGAAAGAGCTTGGAGCTACCATGCCTTTGCCTGGCACGTAACTCTCCCAGCACCTCCATGAGTTCACCGACCTGGAAGCTCTCCAAGCCTCATCCTTGGCATTTTAAGGAGGCTTCATTATATAGGCATGCCTAGTTCCATTAGTGGCCATTGGTGATTGAACTCAATCTCTAGCCCCTCTTCCTTCCCCAGAGGTGGAGGGTGGCAGTGGGGCTGGATGTCCCAACCCTCCAATTACAGGTTGGTTCCTTTGTCAACCAGTCCTTGTCATTAGGGGCTTTCCAAAAGTCACCTAAGTGGAGCTGCACTGTTCATTATCTCTGAACACACCTAGATTGATCTGAGGTATTTCAAGACCAGTGGGGTAAGTATAACTGCCTACGTCTATAGACGCTGAGAGAGGGATGGAGGAACAGAGGAAGTCAGCCAACAAACTTTGGCAGAATTATTTCTTTTTTCTAAAAGAGATTAACCAATACTCCTGTTAAAAAAACTTTTCATATACAATGGCAAGAAAAAACGTAAAGAATGTAAAACAGAGTTGGCTGAGAAATCGTAAGTAAATAGGTGTTGACCCTGAAGATGAAGTGGAAGAAATATTTGAACAAGGATGTGGGCTCTGTCTTACTTATGAACTCGAAGTTTCACAAATTAGAAGTGGATTGGCCAGATGTCGCTAGATGGAGGAAGAAGGCACCAGCTCGATAATGCTGGATTCCCCACTCAAAAGGGCCACTGCTGCTCTGGTGAACACAGATCAACGGTCACGGCTTTCTTCACCTTCTTTTATGAGATGCTTACGATGTGTCACAAAGCTCTTAAACACTGCCATTTAAATACAAATTGCACTGGCTTAATAACCTAACCCTAACCCTAACCCTAACCCCTTAATAAGCTCTTTGGTTAAGTTATAAGTTTACCTTGCCTACATGGCATAGCAGAGTATACTTAAAAGGTGCAAAATAATCTCTTACCATTGGGGTTGTTGGGAAAGGCTTTTAAATCATACTTGCCTTCTTTCTGGTGAGCACTGGGGGGCGCTCTTACCTAGAGTACGTACAGCTAGGTAGCTGTACATCAGGCCGATGTCACTCTACTTCCTATAGCTTCGAAGTCCTGAATCTCTCTTTTAGTAATTCCCTCCCCAGCCCCCTCCCAATCTGGCCTTAACCTTCTGACCAGCTTCTTTTTTACTTCTCCTGGCCCCTCATATTTCACTCAACTGCGCCCCCCTGGCCTCAGCAGGTACTGCGGCCCCCTGTAGTTGGGCATTTTCATAGGGGACCCAAGAGCCCTCCAGCACATGGTGGAAGTGCGTCTACTATGCTGCTAGGATATTTATTTTTAATATTCTGTTGGATGTTCTGCTCCCCCACTAGACCATGAGCTATTGGGAACAAGGACCCAGCTCTACTTGTAGTTTTCAGTTCAGAGCGCAGTGTCTAAAAATGGAGGTGTTCAATCTTTTCAGATGTAATTCTATAGTACAGAGAAACTAGATTTGTAACTGCGGTTCTTAAATGTGCTTTGCATAAGAACCATCTATGGGGGGGGGTCTAGGACTCTGCCTTTTAGCAAGTGTCCCAGATGATTTGTTTCAGGTGACCCTCAACCCATTATTCTGAAAACACTACTGTACAAGGTCAAAATACTCAGTAATACCTAAGGAACTCACACTGTAAGTATCTAATATAGAGCAGTAACTTCATGTCTGGCATCGTTGTAAGTGAATTACAAATACTGACCCAATTAATTCACTTAATCCCTATAAAGTGAAAATTATTACTTTCTCCACTTTCACAAATTAGAAAACTGAAACATGAAAATGCTCAACGTACTAACCTGCCCCACTGCCTAGAGTTATTAAGTGCATTTGGACCCAGGCATTCTGGTTCCAGAGCCTGTCCTCTTAACTACTATGCCATCCCACCCTTTCCACTGATGTGTGTAAGAAAATCCACATTGTTCTTAGCTTTATTTTTGCTGAGCCCTTCCAAGGAGTCTGAAAGGAAAAGAAGGCTACATGACTGCATGAAACACACAGGAAATATTTTATTAGCTTCCAGATGGAGAAAAGGGTAGAGTAAAAATGTTTCAGTAGAAATCCACGGCCCTCCTCAAGGAGCCCACTCTGGCATCCAGGGCCCCCCAGTCGTGGTAGTGCCTGTAGTCCCCCGGCCGCAGCAGGTACTGCCGCCCCCGGTAGTTGGGCATCTCGTAGAGGACCCACCAGCCCTCCAGCACATTGAAGGAGTGGATCTCACTGAAGTGGAAGCGGTTGTGGAGCGAGGAGCAGTCCTCGGTGATCTCCACCATCTGGCCCCTGTAGTCCTCTCGCTCGTAGATCCTCAGCCGGTGGGAGCTTGTCTGTGGGTTCAGCGATCAGCAGGTGGGGAAAAGTCAGAACACCTAGCCTTTAGCAACCACTCACTCACACCCCTGGGGGGATGGGCATTGCTTTATCTTTTTTATATCAAAGGTGACAAAATTAAAGAAAGAGACTGCCAACACTAGGGCTGCTGTGTATGGTTGGATAGGTTGTACACTGCAAAATGCAAAAAGGAGAGGGAGAGTATAGCTCAACTGGTAAAGCATGTGCTCAGCATACACAAGGTCCTGGGTTCAACCCCCAGTATCTCCTCTAAAAATAAATAAGTAAACCTCATTACCTCCCAAAAAATAAATTTAAAACTTTTTTAAAACCACAAAAAGGCACCATCCACATAGACAGTGACATGAATGGTATTCCCTAGAGTTTTTCTGGGCCATCACCTATATGAACCATTCACGCTGGCTCTATTTAGTACCATTCTTAAGTAACAATTTTTCTATATTTGTTTTGCTCTCTCCTTTATAGATTTAGGGTAGTCTGGAGCTCTCCTTGGAGGATATAAAAATAATTAGATATTAAAATAAAAAGACAAATATATCCCTGGCAAAAGGCATGATTTTGAATCTCAATAGCATTAGAAGAGGCTGGGGAGAGAGGAAGTCGAATTGCTTTCCCCAAAGTGAGGTCCAGGTTGGTGGCAATTCAGCCCAGGCAAATCCTTAATCCTTTCCTTTCTTTTTAAGTCCTGCTGCTCCAAAATCCTAAAAAGTAAGAGCCATCAGAGGGTTCAGTTCTCAGCTCTAGTATATGCTCCAGAAAAGCAGTTTTAGGTAATTAATAAAAACAGAAGTTCAAGATGATGAATGAGGCCTGTCTAGATTAACAA